GCTGGTTACGACGGCTGAGGCATAGCGCTCGGGGGTGTGGCAGTTGGCTCGGGAGGAGGACGGAGTTAGGTTGGAGATAGGGGACCTGGAAATCAGCGAAGCGTTTCCTCTGCCAAGTGGGTTCTGTGGACCTCCATGGTTTCCATATGATGTTCAGATCAGTGTCCAGGACCGAAAACATTCCTTTCGGATCCTGCCATATTTGCATGTAGGAGTCGCGGATCGCTTGTCTGGTAAGGGGGCCTTTATCTTATAAGTGTTGCCTCTTCATGGACTTCCAGGCTTGCTGAGTTGCGGCCCTGATGTCTTCCACAATGGCTTGTTGTGCCTTCTGCAGGTCAAATTGGTGGTCCTTCCTTTCGAAGGAGCATCTGGCTCTCCAGGCAAGCATGAGGAGGTGCAGCCTTGTGTTTGAGAAAAGGTTGGTTGCCTGGGGTCGTGCCTCAGAGGTTTGGGAACCGACGGAGCGCTGCTAAATGCAACCGATCTGCACTACACCACTACACAACATGCTGAGACTCAGGGGCTCAGGAAACAGGAGGCAGACTCTGATCTTTACAGCAGCTGGACTGAAGCCCTGTTCCCTGGCCGCACTCTTCATTGCAAGGTGCAGGACTGCATTACACGCCAAGCGCAGCATCGCATTGGATTGCATTCCACCTTATTGCTGATCCTCAGGCTTCAAGGATCACAAAGGTGTTATGCATGGGTTTTGAGAGGGTATAGGGTTTTAAGGGCTTAAAGGGTTTAAAGGGACAGACATAGCGATAACGAACCGGGGGGCTGCTGAATAGGGCTGGGCTAACAGAAAAGGGGCGCTCCAAGAAGGGGGATGGGTGATACTGGCAGCTCCATGGGACAACGAAGCCCCAGGCTGAGACAGAAACGACCACAGTCCTAGGAAACAACAAACAGCATTCTCTGTGTTATAAGATGTATCAATGGGACGCTGGACCTGGTTTCCAGCAGGTGCTGCTCCCCACCACTAGATGGAGCAGCCCGAGAGATGAGCCCTCAATTCGGACGGTTCTCTTACCACCACTGGGATCGACGGCTTACGCAAGGGCTATTTTCTGAAAAAAAAAGGAAAAGAAAAAGAGAGAATTTTGGAATTCCATCCTTTTCCTCTTTTTTTTTTTGGAGAGCAGTTGAAGCTCAGGGACACTGGACCCGGTTTCCAGCAGCCTCGGCTGAGGTATCACCTCAGCACAATTTTGCCCACTTTATCCGGGTTGTTTTGTGGGGAATTCCCGGCCCCTGTTCTGTTTTTTTTTTTTTTTTTTTTTTTTTTGTTACCTCTGAGCAATAAAAGCAAACATGCTTTCCAAGAAAAGAAAAAAAAGAAAGAAAGATGTGTGCAGCCTAGAATCTCCAGGCAGCTTACTCCAGGAAGTTTCGGGCTTTCCCAACCCCTTCCTCTTATCATCTTTTTTTTTTTTTTTTTTGGGACAATGCTCCACAGTCTATTCGTGGGGAGCAGCACATGCTCAATGACAGATATTGAAGCCTATGCGACACAGACATGCTAGCTTCTCAGGTCATATCTGGTCACCTAAAGGGGTTAAAGAGGTGCCCCTGGATGCAAATGATTCCAACTGGAATGCAACGATCTCCTGTGTAATAGAACGCTGCCCTGACTGCCAGCAGGTCCAACAAAAATGGGTTTCGATTCTTTCGAACTTTTGATTGACCCCCCCCCTTCTCCCAAACCCCCACAGTGAAAAGCTGCAGCTCCCCACCATATAGATGGGGGCTCGGAACCGTGAGGTCCAGACTTCAGACACTGCAGGCCGACGATCCCAGGGCCTACCTAGGGCTCAAGACTGTACAGCAGATCCTGACACAAAGCAAGAGGTAAAGATCGTGCTGCACTCCCCACCTGGACCGAAATCTCAGTGACTGTGGTTGTATGTTTCTTGCTGTCCATCTCTGTAATCTATGATCAGAAACGATGAGCCTGGGCAAGTGGGACTCCGCCTTACTTATGACAAGCATGGGGTCATTTTGCACTCTCTGCTTGGTCTCACCTCAATTCTGCTTTGTCCTGCTAGTCTCACCTCAATTCTGATTTCACCTGCTAGTCTCACCTAAATTCTGCGCTCTCCGATCTATCGTGGGAGGAAGACGACGACGAAGAAGAAGAAGAAACCTAGTCTCACCTAAATTCTGCACTCTCCGATCTATCATGGGAGGAAGACGAAGAAAGCTAGTCTCACCTAAATTCTGCACTCTCCGATCTATCGTGGGAGGAAGACGAAGAAGAAGAAGAAGAAGAAGAAGAAAGCTAGTCTCACCTCAATTCTGCACTCTCTGATCTATCGTGGGACGAAGAAGGAGGAGAAAGAGGAGAAGGAGGAGGAGGAGAAGAAGGAGGAGGAGGAGAAAAAGAAAGCTAGTCTCACCTCAATTCTGCACTCTCCGATCTATCATGAGAGGAAGACAAAGACGACGAAGAAGAAGAAAGGTAGTCTCACCTCAATTCTGCACTCTCCGATCTATC